GAAGAAATTTTAAATACTTTTTCATCTCATGAGAATTTGTCCCATATATCTGGAGAAACAATGTAGTCATCTTGTTTCTTAATTATCCATGCATATAATTTCTGTGAATCGGTTACACAAATTTCAGCTGCATGACCGTATTTTAATAAATTTATTGTAGTCCCACACTGTGAAGAACTCTCGAAAAGATGTAAAGAGCACAGCAATAATGTCTGTTTTCTTTTCCCCGGCCGTCTTGTATATCTTGCGAAACTGAACCAACAGGACAAAGAAAATAAATCCTCCCGAGAAACCAATTTTCCCTCCAATTTTTTTCTTCTTCCTTTTCCCTCGCGGGAGGAATAAAAATACACAAACTGATCCCGGGGAGTAGAATGGAGACGGGGAGGGAGAAAGCCAACACCAAGGCAGGGACACGTGCACTTCACACGAGCACGAGCAATTTGCCAAACGAAGACCTCATCCTTTAAGACAAAAGAAAATTGTCTGTTGCGGCCGGGAACACGCGCAGCCCTGGCGAGCAGCTCATTTCCCATTGTGTAAACAGAGTTTCACCTCCGTGGCTTACCAATCAGGCTGATTTCCTCGGCAAATTAACGCCGCCGTCCAAACAAACTGGGACACTCGTGTGTTTTTTCTCCTTTTCTTTTTAACCCCTTGTATATATATATATGCAGATAATATAAACCTTGGGATGAGTCTCCAAGATTGCAGGACCCGCTGCGCCGGGGCCGAGTCCCCGGGACTGAGTGTACACAAGACGGCAAGCTGCCGAGCCAAATCATTTTGTCGCGCAAACATTTGGTCGGGCCTATCGATTACCCCCATCTTCTGGTGAGACATCGCGCTCTGTCTCCGTCAGTGTAATGAGGAGTCATCTACAAACAAATTTCCATGACCCAGCTAAGGTGTAATTCGTTTCCCTTGATGTGTCACTCCATCATGCTGCTAATGTAGATTACACTCTTCGACCCCCCTTACCACCAAGCGCCAACCACCAACCACCAACAAAAGACATCTGACTTTCATGGAAGATGAAATTTGAAGACTATGACAACACTTACTTAGGGAATTGAACGTTCCCACAAGGTCCAAATGCTTAAAGTACAATAAACACCACTTGTGAAATTCGTTCAGGAAATTGACTCAAAATCGTGGTGGATTTTGAAGAAAATGACAGGTAATGTAGTCATACAAATTGCACAAAATGGTGACAAATGTTGGATTTATAGACTAATTCGACAACAGCCATTTTCTGCGGTGGCACCAGGCTTGCGCGAGCCGTAAATACGCATGCACTCCGGGCTCCGACCACCAATAGGGTTACCAAAATGCATGCGGCTTGTCTTTAAGAAGGCGTGTGGCGTGCGCACGGACATGGCGCCACCTAAAAATGGCTTCTTATTTTGTTCGGTGAAGTACACTATTGACAAATACTTCAATCATACAAAGGCCTGTCCTTACAGTGCAAGTTGACTCCCCCTCAAAAAAAAAAAAGTGAATTGAAAACAGACAAACCACAAAAATTGGAATAACCAATTAACATGGAGACAAATTGTCTCGCGAAAAAAACACTGATAAGAAAATGAGAAAAGAGCAATAAGGAAAGAAGCGACCACTTGCCCGCGATTCGAAGTCGAAAAAGCAAGAACTGGGGAATTGAGTGCCAGACCCCCCCCCCCCCCCCCCCGATAAAGATAAAGAACCAGAAGATAGGATAACGGGGATGAGAAAGCGACGTGATTAATAAAACGCTGGATGAACAGCACTCTGCACTCTACATCCCGCCAAAATCGCATTAAAAACCATAATTTGGGCCCAATCTGTACGTGCTCCACAAAATATTGTTAAAATTTCCATTTCCTTGGCCAAACACGCCAGGGTCCAAGGTACACGCTTTATCTTGAAGACTGGTAGTTTTTAAGTCATCCATTAGCATAGTTTTTGGTATTTTTGTATTTTTGTTGCTAAGAAATCGGACCCAATTCCAATACAGTGCCGCCGTGTTGGTGTCGTCACCGACGGCTAATCCGTCAGAGAGCAAAAGCTGACCGGGACAGAAAGTTGTTCATTAATTAATGGCACCAGTTGCCGGCTGTGCCGGGGCGATGATGTTTACCGAGCGCTGCATTCTCATGGTGGCGTGGGGGGGGGGGGGGGTGGGATGGAAGGGGAGGCCAGAGTACTTCTCGGACTCGAGAGTCACTATCTTACAAACTCGTTCAGGGCTTGTGAGGAATTGAGTGGCACTATGAGCAGCCGAGTCAAGTGAGATTTGATGTTACTCATTGTAACTCGATCAAGGATACTCCTAGGGATAAGGGTGTTCCTGTGTTATTCTCTCCTCATTCCTTGTAAATATAACAGCATTCAGTTGATCAACTATACAAAATGACATGATTCTTAATATGTAACAGAAGTGCTGTTGGTCAAGATCAGCATGGCATTATAGACTAGTGCATGGACAGGCCCAAGGGGGGGGCCTGGTGGGGCCGGACCCCCCTTGGAGAGCAACTGGCCTCTCCCCCCCCCCCCCCCCCCCCGAATCCAAAAGCATATGTATTTTTGTATTTTTTATGGTAGTGGGCCCCCATAGTTGGTACTATGGCCCCCTGATGCTTGGGGCTGGCGACTGTGCCGTGCATGGATAGATTAGTGTATTTCAATTGATAGATTTTCTGCTGTTGGAACAATGTCACATTGACAAATTATAGTAAATCTATGCGGAAGGGATTTTTAATTAACAATGTGGCCAACTGAAATTCTTCATGTTGCTGGTATGTATGAGTGATAAACATGGCTGTCACATATTTCATTGGGATCTCTTTCGATGAATATATCGATATAGTGGAATTTAGTGGATTGAGCTGAAATCTTTTTTCTGTTATTCCCCTTTTTTCGGGGAAATGGTTCTCTTTCAGAACCATTCATGTTTGATATAAAAAAAAATATTGGACCAAAGTTACCTATATTTCCCTGTGGACTATATAACCAGTCAAATTTAATTACACCTTCAGCAGGTGGCCACGTGATGTATGAAATTGCATCCCATATTACCAGTTCCTCAGCCTGGGCAATCTCCCCACGGAGGAAAACGGGGTTTCGCTGGATATCCTCCCAAATTCCCATCGCCAAACTCGTCCCACCTCGGAACGAAACGGCTTACGACTCAAGTCGCACGAATCCTGTCCCGCACCAGTGCTTGATCCAACCGGTCTCCGCGCCTGGTGAAATTCACACCGCGCCGGCCAAGCAACGGTAACGCAAGACAGCCCAACATGTGTGCCATGACCGTTCATTGTTCCTTGTCCGACTGAAAAGAAAAAAGGGAAAAAAAAAGAAGAAAAAAAACCTGTAGTATCACAAGGCTTGTCGCTACTCTTCCTCTTACGCGGCTAATTTGTAAGGCGATCCGGCCCGGCTGATCTCGCCAAAGTAGTCGGTAGAGAGCGCGTTTATATAAGTCAGACGTGTTGGCCGCGGCCGGCTGTGTTCCGAGCCGCTGCTCATCAGTGATGAGGGTGTATTTTCTTTCGCAGCAAATTAGCCGAAAGGAGTCAGTCGGCTTTTCTGCGGCTGACACATCGGTCGGGGATTACAGAGTGGTGTCGCAATCAGCATTAGATGAAACTCTGTACACAAGGCACGACGGCAATCCAACCACAAGTATTGTTTATGGGCTTTATTCACGAGTCGGCCATATTAAATTGAAAGCGAGGTAAAATCTTCAGTTTTGTAACTTGCGAAGAGAAATGAAAGCAGTGACATACATGTAGAGTTAACTGCAAATTAATACCAATCTGCTCTGATGACTAATTTAAAATTTGTGGTTAAACACGTACCCTAATGTTTTAAGCCACATTTAAAAAGAAAGTGAAAGTAAGGCTGGAATGCATGAATAGTCTGGCACCATCCCATTCAACGGTTCACAATTTACAAAATACATTCAGGGAACACAACCAAAATGGCTTCCTTGCGAATAAGGTCCATGGCGCGATTACTAGAATTCACAGGGTGTTTTATCATGCTGAAATTTGTGAACTACTTTTTGCTTGGTAAAAGTGCTGATTTTAAAATTTGACTTTTTTTGTTCACCTACAAGCAATGTCTTACGTATTCTTGTTATTTCGACAGATTTCAGGCATGAGATTTTTCAGACTTATTGAATCTGAGAGAAAGAAAGCAATAATACATCTTTCAGACCACCTTCATGCAATTTTCAGCCTTTAAATAAAATTGACATTCTCATCCCTGTGATGACATAACTTGTATAAACTCTGAACTTAAACTGTGAAGCACTCAGTGAACATAGGGAGATGAACCATAGAGTATGATAATATAAAAGGGCTGCATCCAATGTTAAAAGGGTACTGAAGTGTGCTGTGTATTCTGTTCCACGCGCACAGCTAAAGTGTGTGAAGACAGCAGTGCGTGAACAAGAGTGAACCAGAACAATGAAAACTGACATCACACTTCGGTACTCTACATGTATGTGATGAAAAGTGCATTATAACAAATTGTACTGTGCACCCATGCGCCCCATGCTTCCACAGCCAGGTTTTGTGGCTTAAAGTCCCATTTTTTCTGAAGTAAATCTAAATATTCATTTTCAGAGTTTTGACAGTCTTACTACAGGAAATTATTTTCAAAAGGGCCTGTTGGAAGGCCTATGTACACATATATGCAACTCTGTCCCACAAATCAATGAGCGTGTTTTCATTATTAAAGGCGACAAAGTCGTGCGACTTATTTGCACAATTTAAAAAAAAAAAAATTGAAGTGATTTTATTGCGCGACACAAAAGGTCACTTATGTGTTTCACCTGGAATCTACATGTATGCCTGAACTGCAGATGGACGGAAAAATGGCACGATATATTGATATATAATGATATAACTGCTAAAAAGTGTTACAAATTTCAATGATCTGTTATAATTTATGACAAACAATTAAACATTTGTTCCTTTTTTCCCCTGTGTTTCTATCTGCCTACTTTACAGAAGATATAGACATCTTTGGTGAATCATACGAGATTGAGGCTACTTCGGAGTATGGCTTCCGACAGCGATCCAATACCGCGGTGCGACTGGAGAAGCTACGCAGTGACCGCATGGCCCAGAAGAAGTGCAAGCGTGTTCAGTGGAAAGGCGAGGCTTATATGGAGTTTCCCGGTAAGTTGGCCGTGAAATACCTGTGAAACTTGCAAAAAAGATGATCATTCTATTACCTATTAGTTGCTGTACCGCCCCAAAGTGCCCTGCCTGTCACTCCTTATAATACTGCCCCAAACTGCCGCACCACTCTGTGGTTTTGATGGATTTATCAAGGAGTAAATACAATGGAGTACCATGTAATACAAGTGCTAATTGAATAAAACGGTGGAATTTCATTGGTCAGGAACTGGTCACATGGCATTTCACAGGAGTTCATGTACATGTATAAAGCTACCCTTGAGTTTCTTGTGTACATTGCACATGTGTACCAGCATGTTTATTTTGTTATTGACACAAGTTTGTCAACAAGAGAAGTTACTGCCTTGCAGTCCAAAATTTGGTATAATTCTGCATTTGAATACACTTAACTGTTTAAGTTCATTTCAAAGATTTCCAGATGCAATATTTTGATATTTTGAGAAACAGAGGAACAGCCTTTTCCATAATATCTTCACTTTTGTGAATTTATGCACAATTTGTAAATAATAATAATAATATTTTATTCTTGATAAACGTTTTACATTAAAATCTCAAAACACTTTACAGAACATCAAAACCACATAAAAAATTAGCCTGTTAATTAAAATGTAGTTAAAAATAATACCTTTTATAAATAATTTTTTAAATGAATTTAAAAAAAAAGAATTTGATTAGCTTATTGTATTCCTTGGGAAGTCTCACATACCTTGATATGTCATAGAAATTAACCCATCATTATATCCCTATTTAATGACCCAGGCTGTCACCTAAATAGTAGCACTATTTTACCTGCCCACACTAAATGGTCCATCGGTAAATCGACCATAAAAGATATGGCCAACCGATGAAAGAATTAACCATGACAATCCTTGAATTGGTCAGGGATCTCCAGTGTCCCAAGTACTGTTAACACTAGAGAAAGCACATAGTCCACATGTGTTGTGGAGTATGGTGTTTCAAGGGTTATGGCCAGTAAGGGTTATGGCCAGTGGCCATCAGTCATTGATGTAACAGTGCCCTCTTGTGGTCAGTGTCATTGGCAGTCAAAAAATAGTTGGCAAGAAGTGTCTTGAAATACAAGGGCGTATCCAAGAGGATTTGAGAAAGCTCACTTCAAATATTGCAACCTCTGTGCATTTACCAGACTGCCCCTTTAAAGCTGTAATCTGCCGGTTGAGCAAGACTGCCCCTTTAAAGTGCGACCTCCAGACACCTGCAGGTGCTATTGTTTTTGGTGGCATTTCCCTGCTGATTGGCTGCTAATTAGCCCACGGACAGGTGTGTGTGGGCTTTCACCTCGTTAATGAGACAGCCAGTCACGTCTTGGCTAGATGGAAGCCTTGCTGTGGGTGGTGTTTATGGCTGTAGAGGTATCCTGTAAATAGACATACCTCCATAGTGGACTTATTAAAGTTTCTTATGGGACATAAAACAGGTGCATGTGATTCCATTTTTGATGTCTTTTCAGAACGTGGACTTTGCCTGTGTCCTCTTAATTAGACTTACTGAATTTATAGAAGTTGCTTCTTGTGTTCTTTATACCTACATTACTAAAAAAAGAAGGGGGGAGGTCTTAGCTCATGTACAAAACCAAAACTTTTTTTAAAACCACATTTCTTTTGATACTGTCAGGAAAAAAATGATAAATGGGCAAGTCCAAGAATTCTTACACACTATGTATGTCCCATGCGTTATGAAAGTTTAACCTAAGATATTCAATAATTCATGGATTTCAATATTTGTTATTGCATCTGCAAAGAGAAAACCCAATTTTTTTTTGTTATTAGTCTTTAATATTAGTCTTTTTGTGTGTGATTATGTCATTAAAGAAAACATGGCGTTACGTGTTGGACAAAAAGGGGACATTTTATACTTGGATTAACCCAAATTCAATTTGACTAGGAAATAGATTTTCAACCTTGCTTTCAACCACTAGAGAGAGCAAGACTAGACTGGCAAAGTTTTGTAGTTGTTCCTCACGCAGTTCCAAACCTCAGATTTGAGAGACTTGTATTATGTAGATGGCGTGGTGTGAATTAAATGCACTCATGAGAGACAGTCAACAAAATATTTTCTGTTGCACACTGTGTTGCACGCACGTGTTGCTCGGCGGTATGAGCAGAGTGTGTATTTTTCATCCAGCGTTGGCACTCATACTCGTAGATTAGGCCTATAAATGTAGTCTAGTTGGTAAGATAAGCCCCCTATGCACCCCCTCGGAAAATTTAATGACACCTACTTTTGTATGTTCCTTTTGGTGTCTAATAACCGATGGGATGTTCCCGTCGAAACAAACTGCACCATGGGGATCGTATTGCAGCCATCTTGGATTTTGCTGCGCGGGACAAATGGTAAAAACCACGGTTTACCATATCTATTCAACTAAAAACTATATACATGTAGGGACAAATAGGCCTAAACCCACTTTGCCATACTATTTTGACATGAAGAAACATTTGGAAGCGCCAACTTTTCAGATTTGAGCATGCCATGTGGGTAAAGTTATTCAAAACATGGGGAAAATATGCAAAAATTGACCAATTCCCTATATCTCCGGCAATTAATTCGACTTTTTGACCCTTGTCTAATGACATTAGCTTATTACGCTTGTTGTTCGCTCGTACAAACAGGGCGCTAGGAAGGGCTGATGCCGTTTCACAGAATCTTGTGAAGGAAGTACGGATGGCATTATGGGTAACTTATCATGACCTTCGCATGCAGCTAGCGTGCGCTACATGTACGTATGATAAACAGCAACAGCGCTGTATGTATGTCACAGGTCATGCAAAATCTATGCAATGAGAGCTCGAAGAGATCAGCCCTTCCCAGCCCTTCTCGGACAGGGGGTACGAGAGAATGCTTGTTGGTGCTTCTGGCCAGTTTGACCATTGAGGGGGTACTTGTGAACGGGGTCCATAACTGGGGACAATTTCAAGGAGTCGTTGAAGAACGCTGAAAAGTGCTAAGCTTTGAAAAGTCTCACTTGTATGAACTAAAGCCATTTTCAGTCAGCCACTTACAGCCTCCTACTCAGATCACAGGTGGTCAGCACGCATTTAATTCCCTTTGATTAAACCGCACAGAAAAAAAACAAAGCGAAACAACTGTCCCTTCTAATTAGACAAGGAATCTGGGGAAATTAAGACCCCCGAAGGCTACCTGATCGCTAGAGGCAGCGCTGGAACTGTTAATCAAGGATAATCAAGGAGAAGATAATTAACAGGAAAACTAATCAGATGTTATATTTTTTTGAGGGTCTTGGGATTAAAAAACGAAATTCTCAATGAGCCGTGCATTAATAATCGCCACAGTACACCGATCGTTGCCATTTCAAGGACTCGCTGGGACGGATTGGGCACTGTCACAGCGTTGTAAAACAGCTCTGATGATGAGGAGGAGTATAATTGCCGTCCTTAATAGCTCGTGAAAAGAATCATTCCGTGCTCGAGAGGCGTGATACTCGTACCAAATTATTGTTGGAACAAACTGCCTTGAAGATGTATTTTGTAGGAGTTTTTTTCCAAAACGTGATAAACGCCATTTTGTTACCTTTTAAAATCCTGCCAGCTCATTGGCTGCTCAAAGTGAGTTTCATTGGTTTTTATTGGTACATATAATGCATTTAAAATACAATATAGTAGAATTAGCTGTTATATAGGTAAGCACGTTTTAAGAATACAATAAAGTGAAAAGTTTAGTTTGGAAACAGCTGTTGTACTGTGTATGTTCTCTAAGGTTTCATAACTGTGCAACTTATTCATTTTTTTCAAATGGCTATTGCATTTTTACTGAATCCTTCAAAATCCTCTTTGCCAAAGTGGAGGAATTTGGAAGATTGAGGTTACACTGCAAAAGTGCATTACTGATTTCGTAGGATGCACTTTGTCAAAGTCTTGGGTCGGACCTTGTGTTGTTTTTGCTCAGCCATGCATAGACATAGGCCTGGATTATGCTTGAAAGCCTCGTACTGCTCCAGGATGTCACTGGCCAAACCTCAACATATTGACAGTTGCTGCCGCAGGATTTTGCAGGATTCAGGGACAGTGGTCACACCTCCACGGACCATATTCAAGAAATAATGGAGGAATTTGCAGGATTGAAGCTACATTTGTATATACATGCTAGTTTTCCATGAGGCCAATTGGAGGATTTTGCAGGATTGAGGCTACATCCTAGCAATAAGGCCTAGGGAGTTAGGGTTAAAATAAACTCTTCATTTATTATGTACAAAGACAGTTACACGAAACGTCTTTCAGTGGAATACATGTTGGTGTTGACCTTTCAGAGAAAAATGTGAACAGAGAGTAGCCCTTTGTAGAATTAAGTTGGTAATTAAAACAAGGAATGATTCAATCGTCCACATTCCAGAATATTTATTGCCACCTTATGATCCAGACATGCATTGAATTTACAGAGTTAATCCTACCAGCTTCAATCGCCAGAGACTGTAATCCATTTTAAAATATCAGTTGTAATTGTCAAGGTGACTCAGATTCACTTAAATGATGTATTTCCCATTAACAACCCTAACTCCCTAGGCCTTTTTGCTAGGATGTAGCCTCAATCCTGCAAAATCCCCCAATTGGCCTCATGGAAAAATAGCATATAGCCTCAATCCTGCAAATTCCTTTGTTGTTTCTTGAATATGGTCCATGGAGGGGTGACCACTGCCTGAATCCTGCAAAATCCTCCGGCTATGACTGTCAATAGGCTGAGGCAGAGGCAGTGACATCCTGGAGCAGTGTGGAGGATGTCAAGTATAATGAAGGACTAAATTTATGCATGGCTGAGCATAAACAACACAAGGTCCGGCCCAAGACCTTGACACAGTGCGTACTCCGAAATCAGCAACGCACTTTGGCCATGTAACCTCAATCCTGCAAATTCCTCCAATTTGCAAAAAGGATTTTGGAGGATTCAGGGCGGTTAGGGTTAGCTTTAGAATTAATATTAACATTACTTACATTGTACATGTATAATGACTTGCCCATTGTGGTATCGTTTGTTTAATTGTTATGCCATAAAACTGGCCTAGAAAAGACGCTTTTTAAGTTTTGATCACCAAAAGACACGTCGTTACTTGCAACGCGTTTCAAACTGTGAAATCAGGTGCAGCATAAGCAAGGAACTTCAAGTCAAGGAAGGAGGTTTATATGCTAAATGTACTTTTTTGTTAGTGAGTTACACGAAACAGTTTGGGTCAACCAGTTCGTTTGTGTAATCCAGTTTATGTGTGAGCCAGTATAATTTAAATAAGATGCATTTTTAGAGCTGCATAACTCAGTTGGAGGAAGTAATTTGTGAGGCCACAGGTTCGAGTCCCAATTCAGTGAGTTTTCCTTGTTCTGTTACATTAATAGGAATTACTTGTAATATTCATAGGGGCAGAATATGAGGTGCCACCCAAGCTACATGTATGGGTGAACATGTCTGTGCTATGTTTCTATTTGATGTTTAAGTTCTTAAAAACTTTAAACAATTACATAAATCTCCCAAAACATGATTAAATTTCCTCTGCAATACTTAACCCCCCCCCTCAAAAACCCCTCTTTGTTACATGTAGCGTTTTTGATGCTCTGTTCGCTGTCAAATATGGCAGTTTTTACTGCTTTTAATCAGGGATATCCTACTGTAGCTGCAACTTTTTCTTCAAATTTAATTTCAAAAATGTTAAAGATAACGTGATGGATTAATCTGGTTACAAGGTTAAATTTAGTATAAACGAGAAAACGTAACGAGATTGGGAACTCCTAATCAACTGCGGGCATTGTAATGTAGGTCTGATTAATTGCGTCCTTCTCTGATGAGAAGAAAAATCAAAAGGTTATTTTTCATTTGAGAACTTTTCCCCTTTATTTACTCCGTGGTTGTTGATTGACAGTAGCATTGGCACAATGGCTCGCCAAAGGGGGCTGGTCAAAATCGTTTGTTGATTTAGTTCTTTGTTTTCTGCTTTTCCTTTTTGGATTAGTATTTGGAAGAATAGCTGTAGGATACATGTCCAAAATGCTCTTCAAAGACATGTTTTGTAAAGTTTTCACTTCAAATGCCATTTCGTTGTTCAATACATAAACCTTTGAAAGCACACACACACACACCCAGACTTACATTACATACCTAGTGTGGACATTGCTTTGTTTTCGTGTAGTTAAGAAAACTCGGTACAAAAAATAACTTTACTTAAACTGTGAAAACTCTTTTAACCCAATTTTTTTTCTATGATTCCCTATAGTGTTTCTCTTCATTCTGCTACGGATAAACCTAACCCAAAAATGCCTCTAAACCTGTTTTCCAGAAAGGGCAAAACCTTATGTGGACACTGCTTAGTCCACATAAGGTTAACACAACCTGCATTATGTGGACCTCTTTTGTTCACAAGTCCACATAGGGTATGTAACACAAACTCACTTATTACTCACATTTTTGCACATTACAACGGAAATTCCCAAATGTTCAAAGGACATTTTTAATTTGTTTTATTTGTCTAAGATATTGCATTCTTTATGCCATCGTATGTAACCAGTTCGCGCCGGGATTATTTTGACATTGACCGGACCCAGGTGCAGGATTGTTTTTTCACCAGCCTTGACGCCAGACGGGTTCAGGCCGTCATCTGCGGGTAGCACACCTTGATATTTCCGGCCTCGCTCGCAATGAGTGGGTCGCTGACAGATATTTCTGGTCTCGCTCGTTGCGTGTTTATCCGTCATCCGTTCCGAATACCGCAAAACCTTTGCGTGTATAATGGAATACGGCAAACAAGAATTAAAAGCTTTTACTGCGGTGTCACGTTCATGTGCATGCTGCACGTGTTCTTAAAGACGAGGCCCATGCGCATTTAGGTATTCCTATTGGTCGAATGAGCCGGAGTACATGTGTATTACCTGAGCGCGACTCACGCAAGCCTTGCGCCACCGCCGGCGGATTTGTCTAGATACACATCATCCAACGTAAACTGGTTAAAACTGGTCATTGGATCCTTATAGCTGAAATGATTTTTTTCAATGATGCCAAAGACTTCCTTCCGCTGTGAAGTGTAGTTCCTTGCATTCCAAAAGATTCTTGTGTTTGTACTTGAGACCTCCAGAAATATTCTTATGATTGTTTTTTTCTTTTCCTTATTTTCCATAGAGGAGGATCTGGATGAACTGTTTGCCAAAAAGAATGTCCCCAGAAAGAATTCCGATAATGAAGACCGTCGCCGCTCGGTGCTCTCCCTGCAGCTGGAGCAGAACCCGGATCAGGCCAACAATCCCTTCTCAGAATATGCCAAGTTTGACGGCAAGGTGAGGTCTTAAACAAAATGTACTCATTTGCATTTGTCCGTGACCAAAAAAAAAGGAAAACAGGGGGAAAAAAGTAACTTTATGACATGCCACATTTGCCGTGGTAATATACAGTTGGTCAGGTCGGTAGTGCTCTGCAGAAGTGCCCTAAAACATAAACACAGAAGCGATCAAAAGTCAGGTTTAAAACAGTACCGAACTAAAACCGTCATGACGAAAGAATGATCGTCTTAACTGTATGTCAGAATTGCACTGGTTTCTGACACAGAGGTTGATTTTTAAACATACTGTCTAATATGCCCTGGTTTCATTAGATCAGTTTTACTAGTCACTTTTTTGGACGAATTTTGAGAGAGTAAACCTCTACCTATACAATTGGAAAACAAATCTAAAAAACAAATAGTGCTATTAATCTGAGTGAGTTTAAAAGTCATTGGCTGTGGAGTTTTTAAAAGGATCTTGACAAACTATTTCAACAAAAAGTTTTGCAAAAACACTTGAGAAAATATTACAAAAAAGTATATATATTTTTTGTAAATGTAGAAACAGCCTAGCAACCCCCCCCCCCCCACCAAAAACACTCTGAATTTGATGGTGTACTTAGGTAGGACTTCAATTCTAGATCTCCCAATTTATTGCAGCATTGCTGCAGACATTTCTTTAACCCTAACCCCCCTGAATCCATCAAAATCCATACCCCTGTTTTTGGAGAATTTTGGCGGATTTAAGATACCTCCATATTGAAAACTGGGGGATTTTGATGGATTCAGGATTGTAAGCCAAGCGGTACTGCAGGATTTTGATGGATTCAGGAGACCTCCATATTGAGCAGTCACCAGCTCAAACCATTTCGGCGTGACATAATCGGTGGATTTTGGCGGATTCAGGATACTTTCTAGTAAAGATACCCAAAGGGTTAGAGTTTTAATGTTGTTTTCTGTTCCATATACATATACAGGCTCATGCAGGCAATTCAAACATCAAGAGGATTGACATCTACCTGGCCATGTGTGAGGGAGATGCGCGAGAGTTCCCCGTCACCATCCACGTGGTGGGGAATGCCAAGGTGTTGGATCTCATTGGACTGATATGCTGGCACTACCTAAACAAGGGGTACCAGCCTAAACTCAGGTGACTTTACACTTGTATCTATATGTGTTGCTTTTTATTTCCACTGTTGGAGCATTTCCAATTTTCAAAATGCTGCACAGGTGTGCTTCTGAGGTACCTTTGTCACCCATGTTTGAATTTGACCTTGGTTTACTTGTCGATTGGTTTTTCAGTCCCTGCTGGATTCTGTGGCTTCTTTGTGGAATATTCCAGAATTTCCCTTTCACCCCTAAAACTGAAGGTTTTTTGTCTTCATCTTCTCCCCAGTGCTTGACTTGTTGCCCCCCCCCCAAAAAAAAGAACTTGTAAAAATGTATAAATGTACAAAATAGTTGTTGAAACTAGGGGTGTGCATTTATGGGTAGTACAGGATCGGGTACCCGATTATAAAAAAAACACGGGTATCCGGGTACCCGTTAAAGAAACCAACCCCAAAATTCTAATCTCGGAAGTTGCTGTTCAGATTGTTCATATAAAGGGCCACATGATAATACTACTACATCAGAGTGTCATGTTGGGTGTAAACTGCAACTTTCATGAACGTCCAAAACGTGAAATATGTTTCGTTTTCCCACATAGCCTGGTTTTCATTTTGAAAAATCCCCACAAATTACATTCAAAACATTTCTTGTTCATTATCTGAAAACTTACTGAGTAATTTGTAAAGTTGGTTATGGGTACCCGATCCCTTAATCTGGAACCAGTTCCTGACATCAATGGTCGGGTACCTGGGTACCTGGGTACCCAGTTCCGATGCTTACCCGTATTTGAAACACAAAGGAGAACAGCCCAGATTTTACTATTGAGTTTTAAAGTTCACAAATCATACCTAAGTATTTGTAGAAAGAAGGCCCTTTTCGGGTTTGAGTGCAGGTTTGGTTCAGGAGAGTATAAAGTGTGAATGGGAGCCAAGGAAGGGGTCGGTCATGCTTCCCTCAAAAAGAAGAAAAAAGTTAGAAATTTTGATGCTTTTTAATATAATTAAGAAGAGCTCACACCCTAAGATAGAATAGTACAGTTTATACATTTCTAAATGAGGTGGTTTGGTTTTTTTCAGGCAAAACGTGGAATCTTACTGCCTGATGATTGCTGAAGAGGATGGGGAAGTGGACACGGACTTTCCGGCGCTTGACAACCGAGAAGCCATCTCCAAGTTTGGCTTCAACACGCTGGCCCTGGTTCCACTGGACATCGTGGAGGATGGGAACAGCGAAGAGCCGCAGCAAGAGGGATGCGTGGTGAACATGTGAGTATTGCTGAGGTTGGCATTGGTCTTGTTGGATTTGGTGAGAGAAATTATTAGGTTGTGGGGGAAAAATGGATGTAGTGATGGGAGGGATCCAGAATTCAGATGGGAGATGGGCTTTGTTTTGCTCAATAAAATGGCTGTCATTCTCAGTAATATGTAAGCCAGCATTCTGGTACCAAAATGTAATAGAAATAGCATGGGGAACGAGGTGGGCTTCAGCAAGCCCTCAGCCTCCCTACATGCCCTAGTCCAACAGTGCTGTGAGGTACAAGTAACTACATCCTCTGGTAATAAAAGTAAATGAAAATGCCAGTTAGTACTTCATATGAATGTAAATACAGAGTGATTAGGATGCCTTGAGCCTCATGCAGCCTTTTTACTGGGTCCTCATGAGGTTTTACTCGGACCTCACTGGAGCCAATCTAGGCCTTGTTTGTTCTTGTTACTTGTTATGGCATTGTGGCTTCCACACTGTGCCTCAAACAACCTTGGCTGATCCTCACACAGTCCTGAAGGGATCCTCAGTAATGTCTGGTTTGAAGTTGCTTGGTCTGACATTTGCCTATGGACCTCACCAGAGGTTACATGTAGGTCTTCTTAAGATCCTTACTAGGAAGGTCCTCATTAAGTAGACACTAACTAGGTCCTCACTGGGACCTCAGTACTGTTGCCATATTTCTAAACATGAAGTTTCTATTTGACATAGACTGCACTCATATATTGAACCTTTGGTTAAAAGATACTCAACTGTAGAAAAATGCTGGGGAAAAAAACGATCATTCTTAAAGTGAGGAGGATATTGTTAAGTTTTGATGGTCATTGAAGGTAAAATTCTTGTTCAAGTCATCTCAATTATTATCTTCTTAATTAATTGTGCCAATTTTTGTTCCCTCTTTTTGATTCAGTCGTAAACTAAACGTCAATATAATTATCCCATCGTTAGCGATTTTGCAATGACCACAGCCATAATTTACCTTTAAATTCCTTGATGTATTCAATGTAATCATCTTCACGTTCCAGCTCAACAAAAATATCAAAAAAGCCTGTCCTGCACGCACCTCCGCACCATTAAAATGTCAACCGGCATAAATTACCCTAAAACATAAAAAAGTCTTGCCTCTGGCCGCATTAGCCCAGGCGCACCTCTGATTAATTTCTTGTGACAACTTTGTCGTGTCGTGAATAACCCTTCGCGGCTGCCCCGGTTCCCTCTCGCCTAGGCCCCCAACAGTCACTACCAATCTAGCCGGGCCCCCGCAAAACGTCTCTGTCTGGCAAAAGCCGCCGACCGTCCCACCTTTTTGCACGTCCCTATTTTTTTTAGACAAGACATGAGATGTTTTTTCTATGTGTTTTCTTTTTCTTTTTGGCGTGATGGGCTGCAAGCCCGTTTAATTACCCAGGGTCTTCGCCGGGAATTAGTCTGTCCCGTTCCATTTGCAGTCTTGGCCGTGATTGGCTCTGCGAAAGGAAGCATCACCTGTTTTGGTTGTGGGTGGTAAACCTACTGCTTCTACGTACGTTATCCCTCTAAAAATTCTGCTGAGTATTCCCTAGCCAAGTCCACTGACACCTACCCTTTTTTATTCCATGTCTTCAGTAGGAAGTCCTTTGATCCATCCGGGTCAGACTTTAACCCAAAAAAGGCGTTTATCTTGTGCGCACCCTGCCAGTTGGACATCGCGAGACGAATACCGAGTTAGATTCTCTCGTTAACGATGTAGCTGTTTGATGTGGAATAATCACTTAATGCACTTCCGGAGAGCCTAGAATCGGGATTAGGAATATAGGTCAAGGCTATGTGTAACTCATCACCCAGTCCAAAACACTGCATCGCCATCTCACTGCCAGATATAGAATTTGAGTACGGCAAGCGCGCCATTGTCTTTATGACCTCTTGACATGGGGTTAAAGGTAGAGTAGGCTATGTCATTTGCAACTGTCCAAAAAGTAACTGACGAAATTATTGTTTAAAAGCATACTTGGTTTAATGATAGTAATGACACTAATCTACCTGTGAAATTATTCTTTCTGGTATGCTGTCGTTTTGAAGAAAACACTTAAAGAAGGTCATTTCAACAGATGTGTCTAAAGATGCATTTTTAGAAATTTCGTTAGTAGTTATTTCGTTAAAAGTAGCTACAACAGCGATCTCGATTGCCGCACCACCTCAAATTTTTGTACCAAGGAGCACCAAGGAATGGGGAAATTGCACAAAGGCAAATGATGGAGGACACCAAGGCAAATAATGGAGGACACCAATGTACTGTATATGAGGACACAAAAAAGCAAAATAGTACCCACCTTGTCTGTTCAATCCAAGCTTGAAAAAAAAGAAGAAGCCACTCCCCCCAAAAAAAACGTCGCTGCATCAATTCCGGAACTTTGGTCTGACCAGAGACCGACTATTTTTGTTGTTGCCCTAACCTACACACAACTAGGCAATGCAGTCTATGTATGTACACAACAAGCCTAGATTCTAGGGAGGGTAGATTCATCATAGCAATGCAATCTCAGCAGCTTGGAAGGTGTTTGCTGTACTCAAATATATGCGTGAAGTCAGGTTTTTAGTCCTCATTTCTGAAAATGACCAACTCCTCTTGATTTTCAAAGATTTCATACTTTTTTTTCTCATGCAATTTGCGTCATCACGACATCATTGTTATTATTAAGATGGAATTTGCGTCGGGGTGATGTAAATCAAACACTGGGTTTTGCCGTTTAGGCATTTGTACAGCTATTCAGGAACCGGTTCCAGGTGAAGGGAGCGGGTACCCATAACAAACTTTATAAATTATTAGTAACTTCTCAGACAATGAAAAAGAAAGGTTTTGTATGCCATTTTTAGGGAATTTTCAAAATGAAAACCAGGCTACATGGAAAATCAAAACACATTTAACGTTTACATATTTTTTATATATGCATTTTGAAATTGCAAATCCTTTCACCTGCACCGTACACACTTGTGTCTTGCTGCATTGATGCACCGATGTGATAGTGTTATGGAGCACCTTTATGAAATATCTGAACAGCAACTCTCGGGATTTGAATTTTGGGGTTTGGTTTCCTACCCATGTTTTACTTCAATAGGGTGCCCAGTTCCCCTAAATACACTCCCCTATTGCCCACAAAAGTGAAAGTGATGCATTGGGGAATGACAGATGATTCAACGTGTATAGATTTGTCACCATTGTCACTGTCACGTCGTTGAGTTGTTTATTTGGTTGGCTGACTTACTGACTCCGGTTTGTTGATGGGCTTGTTAGATGATTGGTTTAGTGATTTGGTTAGCAGACATGCGGATTGATGATGGTTGGTTAGTTAACCTTTTTTTTGTGGCTGACAGATAAGTTGACTGGATTCAATGTATGTATTTGTGAGATACGATTTGAAGGTTTGCATGGTGAAGTTAGCAAGCAAGAAGGGGGGGGTGGACCTCAGTTTTCGGATGGCATACTCTGTCCATCGGCAGTCATCGTCAGTCTCCTAGTGATGTCATTCATCGGACGGGTAGTTTTTTTCAGAACCTCACACAAACTCACTAAAGAGATTTGTCACATGGTGTTACTGTAAATCTTTATCTCATTATTTATTGGTGGTTTGATTGGATAGTTGGAGTTGATTTTACTGGATAGCAGACTAGCTACTTTGTTGGGTCTTGTGGGTTGTGTGGTTTGGGCAAGTTACTAAAAGATGGTTTATATGGGTGCTTTGTTGGTTTGTTGGTTAGTATTAGGATTGGTTTGATGGTTCTAGTTGGTTTTGGTTAACCCTAAACCCTAGGCCCTTTTGGGTAGGAACCGTCCTTAATCCTGCAAAACCCTCCAATTGCTACCATGTATAAATTGGATTCAGCCTCAATCCTCCAAAATCATTCGTTATTTCTTGAATTTGTTCAGTGGATGGGTGACCATTTCCTCAATCCTTCAAAATCCTCCAAAAATCAGTTAATGGGTTACAGCAGTGCCGATGACATTCAAAAGCAGTGCATGTGAATGACATTGAGCATAATGCATGCATGGCTGAACAATGCAGGGTACATCCTACGAACTTGACGCAATGCGTCCTCCAAAATCAACGGACACTTTTTGTCATTCAGCCTCAATCCTCTAAAATCCTCCAAAACCACCTGGATGATTTTGGAGGATTGAGGAAGGTTAGGGTTAACTAACTTTGCTTTTTGTTTTATAAGATCTACATTTTGATCACCTTTATTTGCTGGTTGTAAGGTTACTTGAAAGACTGAAAGATTGCATTGGTAGACACAACCCTTCTCACACTTCAACTTGTTTTGGGGGAAAACATTCAAGACATTTAATAAATTTGCAGAAATCTGTTTCCTCTGATTTTTTTCAGTCCTGTCGCAAACACCCCAGCTCACCTTTTTTTTTTTAACTTGAGCTCTCGTATACACGTTTATATTTTAGTGTGAGGGTCGTGTTTCACTTACCCAGGAAACCTCTCACTATCCTGTGTTGACCTGACCAGACTAGACTTCCTCCCGAAAACATCCCAAGTATAGCTGTCTGACCTCTGTGTTGATCCAAAAGGGGGGCTAAGGAGAGGGCCAGGTTGTTGTGAAGGGGTACATGTACATCCTCAAATTGGTATTAACACTTTGCAAGCAGGATGCTGTCACAGTCGGAAATTATCACAGCCAAACCTTGCCCGCATTTTTTCACCCAGGTTTGAAGCACTTTTAACAGTGCTGATCCCTTGTCCTATAGGTATGTTCAGACGGAGGGCAGCTTTTGAGCTAGCTCTCTTCCAGTTAGTGAACTCAACGGGGGTTCTGCGGAGGTAGTGATAAAATCTAAAATCTGCTCACGTTCATACAATGGTGGTTAACTCGGGAGCTGGAGTTAAAGTGGAGCTAAAAGGTCACTAAATAGGTTACGGAGTATATGTTAGTGGGTGACATGGTGAATCAAACATAATAAACAATGAGCGGATGCGTATATAGGTCAGTTGCGTTCAAACGACAAATAACGGTCGAA